TACAGGACCTATTAAATCTTTGGGCTTCCTGGAACTTGTTCTTCAGAAAATAGCCATAAACTAGCACTCATTATGATGGAATCTGATGTAGTTTAATACTAATTTTTGCACTGGCTAATATTGGGAACTAGTGAACTGTGAATACTTTTTGCATGTGTAAAGCATACAAAATCCTTGAGAATTAACTGGGTTTTGTCCAGAGAGTTTATATGGTTTACCCAGAGTCTTCAGTCTAAAAACATTTGAGGGTTTTGTTTGTTTGTTTTTTTTCAGGTTATGGCTCACAGCTCACCACAAAGCATACTGGATGATGTTGCCATGGTAAGCACAAATTATGTAACTGATATACTTCCTACATTATACTGAAGCTAATAGTCAATTCTGCAAAATAGTAGGAGCCCATAACAGAAATATTTGGCATTCATAGAACATGCATAGGAAATACGCATTAGATAGGAAAGCTGTTTGATTAAGCAGATCAAACTTCGTAGTTCTGATGTGTCTAGAATTAGTCTTTATAACTGGAATGCCTAACCTAAAAATAATGTATAAAATGTGTATTTCCTACAGGTACTAGATGAAGAAGCTGAAGTTTTCATAGTCAAAATGTGGAGGTTATTGATATACGAGACAGAAGCAAAGAAGATCGGTCTAGTGAAGTAAACACTCTCCTTGCTTCTAGGGTTCCATTTCGATCTTTGGCTTTTCCCCCTTTTTCCCCCCATCATTCAAAGACTTTGAATTTTCTCTGTTCTCAGAGACTTGAGACATGTATTTTTTTATGTAGAAAATGTGAATTTTTTTTTGTCCTCTGCTCTGAGGTCCCCTTTACCTTCTCAGTTAGTTATCTGAATCCTGCATTGATTCTCTTTATAATTCACAAGGTACAATTACTGGTATGTTTTATAAGCTGCAGCTACTGTACATGCTCTCTGGTAATTTTGTTATGCTACTCTGATTCCTGTAAATACTAAGGAAAAAAAGCCCCTGTTTTGCAAAATACTGGCACTTAAAATGGAATTATATCAGTTACAGATGAAGACAAATGGTTTCACTGCAAATTATCAGTGATTTTTTTTTTGTTTTGTTTTTTTTTTTCCCCCATACCCTCCCTCTTTTTATTTAAGGAATTATCAGAAGGCAATTTAAACATGAGTGGTTTGAACTGCTTTCACAGAACAGCTTTGTGTGTTCATTTGGTCCCCTCATCTGTCTCTGGAAAAGGAATTCCCTCAGACTCTTCATTCTGATGTGAACCAGCAGTAGTCTTGGTACTTTGCCTATTTAAGATTACTAATGAAGCTGGGAACTCAAATCTCTTGCAGGTGCTCTGCTTCTGTCCTAGAAAGTGCAAATTACAGCAAGTTTTTTATTCTTTGCTCAGTTAAAACAAGAGCAGGACCTCAATTCAGTAAGTGCTACTTGATGATTTAGGGTTTTTTAAAAACTAGGGTATCTTCTGCTCAGTTTCAGTTTAGCCCTTTCCTATTATGCCTTCTGTCTCCAAAATAACCAGATTTTTTTTAATAAGAAATTATTTTTAAAAATATATTTTTAGTATTTAGGAAAAAATTGTTTGGAGGAACTGACCATAACAATTGACAAAAACTAAATCACAAGTTTTCAAAGCCAACGTCTTGTTTTTATCCATACTGTTAAACTAGCCCTGACTTTGTTTTCTACTGGTAAGCAGTCTGTGGTCCACAAAAAGAGGGTAATATTCTCCTGCCTTGTTTGTATGGGTTTTTATAAATAGGCTGATGGGGTATAAATGATGAGATGTACTGTAAACTGCATTTTTTATCTCATACCTGAGTAAGAAGACAAATTGATAATATGCTATGAACTGTTCTGATTGCAGGAGGACCGTGTTCCAGGGAGCAAACTGTCTCAGAAACATTTTTAATTTTTAAAAACAATTCTTAATAGCAAACAAATTGAGTAAAGGTGTTTCAGTATCTCTATATTGTATTTAAGTGAAGGATACAGGTTAACCTGTTCAGAAAACATAATTGTGACCTTGAATTACTAGTTCTTTGTATCGGGAGAGGACAATTGAAAACACTGTTCTTAACAAATGGGATTGTGTAAAGGTTCCACCCTGTAAATATTTCAGATATTAAAAATGTATATATTTGATTTAAGGGCTGACATTCTTTTGGAGTCTTGTGCAGCATGCAGTTCTATTTAACATTGGTTTCTGAATCAACAGGCGTTCCCAAATGAGGGGTGGGTTTTTTAAAACTACCTCCTGCTTTGTCAGGTGACTCAGAGCCTGAAAATTCAGATGTGATCCCAATACGTTCTTTCTTATCCCTGTAGTACTCCATAGCACAAAATGTTCTTTTTTTTAAATTGAAGTGTAATGCTCAGATGTTATTTTTATGTTGCACTTGAATTTGTGTGAGAATGTTTTGGTTTACATCCTTACATGCTGCAACCTTCCTCTTTTTTTCTTCAACTTGATATTATCCTAAGAAGTGACTTCCTTTTTCTCCCCATACAGTTTTGCATCAGCATTTACCAAAAATTCTCCAAATTATAAATAAATTCAGAAGTTGATCTGTTTGTAATAAAAACAGAGAAGAGGGAGAGTGAACTTCATGTAGTGCTTTTTCTCGTGCTGATAATGCATTCTGTCTCTGCCATTATCAGTAGTTAAGCCAAATGTGACAAAAGCATTGTAATGCCACTGTGTGCCAGATTGCCTAACATCCTGTTGAGATTCTTCACTGAAAGCTCAAGTTGTGAAACTTGAGCTTATTTTCTTCTGCCCGAAACTAAAGCTGTATATTCATCTGCTGTATTGTCTGTGCACTGGACATAGGCTTGTACTCTTCCTAAGGAGACTGAAGGCATCTGAGTTAGGAAGACATCTAAAATTTTAGCTGGAGTGTGAAGCATCCAGGTAAATAAGTATCTGGAAGTAGTTGTTAATTATTCAAAATAATTTTGTGGAAGTTGAGGTTTTCTTCAGTAGTGGAAAGAGAAATGAGTGTTCACTGTAGTATGTCTGGCTTGGCTTATATGAGTACTTCAACAAATCTTCCTCTTTAAGAATACAAAATGTTGCTTTATAAAGTCCCTTCTGATGTTTATCTCTTACTCAAATGGGTGTTTTGTCAGCAATAACTATATTTTGTGTCTGTGATGCTGGGAGGGTAGAACACAAATTACTGCTGAGAGTTTCTTAATACAGAAGGTAACTGCTAACTTTTTCTTTCAGTGTGCAGTAACAGAAGTATTTCAAGATAAACTTGGAAAATCTGGGGTAGAAAAAGCCTTTTTGCCAACATTACAACACTTTACTGTCTGAATATGTGATTTAATGTGCACTATGCGCATTATGTTAGTAAATGCACAGATTAAGAGTATACTGAGAATGAGATCCATCAGCAAAGTTATGTATGTTGCCAGCAGGTACTCAGTGCAGCATGCCATAGTATGATCCATTCTGTGATGGAAAGGTACTTTGAACGTTCCACATAGTATGTGTGTGTAGGAATCAATATTTATACAACAGAACTGGATATACTACTTATTGATCTGGACTTCACTGTGGAACAAGGCTTTGCACCTTAACCTACCACATGCCATTAGTCTCCTGATAATGATTCTGCATAACAGCCATTGCGTATTACTTGAAATATATGAGTGCAAAATATAAAATGCTGCTGTTTCCATTAGTATGGAAACCCTGAAAGCAGTGTGAAACCATGAACAAGTAAAATACATTACCAAGAATGATATATTTTTTTATATTGCTGTTCATTTGGTAAGAGACTTTTTGTTCTATAGTATTTTCTTAGAATATTCACATAGTGATTTGATCTTTCTAATTTTGGGTACTTCCTTCTTCCCTTGTCTTTAAGCAGGAGCCTGCACTAAAAATAACCATCTAGCTAGATGATTGTGGCTCTAAATGTGGGCAGGAGGAAGGTCCCTAACAGTAAGTTTAGCTTCTTACTGAATTCCTATTTCTTACTACTTATGCTTTCCTGTTACTGAGAGAGCATTAGACCTTTCATGCTTTTACTAAATGGAGTTGCTAGATAGCTGCTTGCAGGAGTAGTATTTTAGAAAATGGATACACTTAAAACTGAAAGTTGTTAGCTTTTGTATTACACTTTTTCATATTCTGTATATATGGTTTCCTTTGTTGGAACATTGGATGATGTACGTGCAGACTTACACAACCTTGTACGTGGCTGTGAAAAATGAGCAGTGTAAGGTATTGCTGATCAGCATTTTATCATAGATCAAACAGGTATCAATAGTATAAACAGAGAATAGTCTAGTACAGCTGTATGTCCATGTTTAGCTTTTTGTTTGTTTTTATCTTAACATGCAGTTTTACTTGTTAGGCATCACTTTTGATCAGAAAATGGCTTCTTTTAAATCCACTTCATGTGCATATGACCTATTGAAACTTGGTATTTCTGTCAGAATGCTTATGTAAAACCTAACTGTAATGTGCAGTACAGTTCTGGCACTTCATTTTCCCATAGATCTTCCTGTAGTGTAGTCAAATAGTGAAATACAACATGTATTTTAAACATGCAGCATTACATAGTCCCTCAGAGATGTCACTTTTATATTTAGAATGATTACATGTATCAGCATTTCCTGTATCATAGTAACCCAGCGAGGTTATGCACTTTTAAAAAAGGAACTGTGGATTACCCTTCCTGCATCCTGGATGGCACGGTAAGTTTCAAGTTTGAACCCTCCTTTGTTTCTATCATACAAGTCACAGCTCTACTAAAAGCTTCTTGAAATGATGCCATGCTGACTTTAGATTAAGTTTTGATAATGGTTTTACTTTGAAATGCAAAGATCACTTCAACTTAATTTCATGTTGTGGTGGTGGGTTGTTTTTTTTTTTTTTGTGGGACCATTTTAAGATGGGGTTCCTAGCGTTTAGCAAGTGCATGACTTAGATTCAAATAACCAAATGTATATTTTCGTCATACCACTCTTTACTTGGCAACATCTCTCACCAGGTTAAGCAGGACAAGCTGCATTTCTGTCGTAGGCCTACTCTTGGCTGACATTTCAAAGAGCGCTCACTCTCTAGTTACCCAACCAGCCTCCTCGTAGTCTGTGATTCTACTTCATGCTTTCGCTTCCCGGCAAGGTTTGGGGTTGCTCTTTCAGAAACGCTGCTTCCTGCCTCCCGCCTGTCTGCAGGTGTCGGTGATAGCCGGATTACGCCTCCCGGCGCTGTGGTTGCGGAGGTGCGTGCTGGCGGACGGCAGGTGCCGGGCTGCTCCCTGGCCTGGCGACGCCGGCCAGCAGCGGTCCGCGGCTGTCGCCATCGGAAGTGAGGTCGGGGTGGAGGGCGGGGCCCGGGCCGGAAGCGAGTGGGGCCGGGCTGCGGGGCGGAGGGGAGTCGGGGACCACGGGAGGGGCGCCGTGCAGGTGGGTGTATGGGGCGCCGGGCAGCCCGGGTCACGGCAACGCCGGGGGTCGTGGCCGCCCGCTGGGACGGGCTGAGTGTAGGGCGGGCTGGCTGGGCAACCCGGGGCGGGGCCGGGCCGGGCCGGGCCGGGTTGGTTGTTCGTGGGGCGGCCGGGACCGGTGTTTGTGTGAGCCCTTGGCCGCGGGTAGGGGCGCGGTCCCTGACTCCTCCCGCGGCCGGAGCGGGAGAGAGGTGGGCGGGTGAAGGGGAGCTACGGCAGTGAGACTGCATGGGGCGCCGGTGACGCCGAGCGGTGCTGTGCAGGGTCCCAACCCCTCAGCCCCGCCGCCACAGGGCCTCGCGGCCTGTGTGGGAGCCGGCGGGGTAGCCGCTCGCCTGGCCCGGGTCCCCACGCCGGGTCGGCCGGGGCTGTGCTCAGGGCCGAGGCAAGGCTGAGGACGAGCTCCGAGGGGCGCTCGGTGTCCCCAGGAAAGCAGTGGCTGCTGCTCACTGGAGGGAGAAGGCAGGGGTTAACCTTGCCGCACCTGTGGGTACTTGTCTGCTCTTCTCTCAGCAGAGGATCGTTGTAGAGCTTCTTCTTGTGTTACTACAGCCTTTTAGGCAAAATAATGTATAGAAAGCTATAGCTGTAAATAAATCCTGGGTTTTTTTTGTACTAAAGAGAGCCAAAGGAAGCAAGGAAGAACTTTTCCAGGCAGGCTGTTTTATTTTTAACAACTTTATTAGGAAAAATAATGCTTTGGTGAGCCCCTTTTCTAGTAAAACAAGTAAAAAATTATGCCTCTTTAGGCAGAGTTGATTTCTAGATGTCATTCTTTCATAGTTAAATTGAGTGTTCATTTGTTGAAAAAAAAAAGGAAAATAAAGCTGTTTGTCCTGAATCCATGTTCTGAGCTCTGAAGTTTTCAAAGGGGATTATTTTAACAAACCATAAATATTGAGGCCTGGTAGACACTGTCATTCAGGCTATGCTGTAATTTTTCTGTCGGTTTTCTCCCTGTCTTCAGTTTCTCTCTGTTACTCTGAGTGGTTCTGGTCATTTTGTGGTGGTTTTCTTTACCAGGCTTTACCTAGGGTTTCATGGGTTGATGGTTTTGATTTTTGGTGGTGTGCTTTGGTTTTGTTTTTTCCTCCCCTCTCCTATAATTTTAATTAAACTAGAATTTTGACATGCTGGTATGTGGAAAATCTCATTTAGATATTCCGCATTTGGATAAAAATACCTAACTTTTTCCTGAGTGGTGACCCTGTCACTGAGAATTTTTACCAGTGGCAGCCTTAAGTCAACATTGTTTATATTCTGTAGCCCAGTCAAAGAATTAGTGCAAAAACTTTAAAAACAGCACACTGCCTATTTATTTCCATCTAATCTTACATTTCATTATATTGTAAGTTAGATGTGCTTTATTTTCAATTACAAATGTAGAAGAGAGCCATTCTAGTGAAAATTGTTTTCAAACAGTTTGCATGCTCCCACTAGACTGGTTAAATTGGTGTTTCTTCCTAATGGCTCTTTAGTGCAAACTACATCCCTGTTGAAGTTAGTAAGTGCTATGCACTAGTCTTGTAAGATAAGCATTTATTTGCAAGTAGAGAACTGGCTTCTGTATTTTACCATGTATGAAAATAGATGTCACTCCCTCTTCATGGTGCTGTCTTCCAGCACTTGAGGCTTGCTGATACCAAAGCTGAGAAGCCTTACATTGTGGTGTCCTCCCTTGTATGAGGTTTTGAGATCACTCCATACATTAGTTAAGTATACTAAACCAGCAGAAAAATATTCTTGTTTTCTTTTCCTGGATTTGTTTTCTTCCATTTTGTAAATAAAATGTAATTTTATTTATCAGTCCTCTGCTGTAGTAGAGGACTGATACGTGCTGGAGTTGGCACAAGGAGCACAAGTTGCTGCCTGGGATGGAAGTGGGGACCGGCATTCCATCCTTGAGGCAGTGGTTTATTCACTTTCCTGTGTTTTGTGTAATAACCAAGCCAGTGATTTATCTAGGCTTGCTCATTGTTTCTTCAAATTAACATGTTTTTGTTTTTTAACTTGGGTAGCTACATCACCCTGCTTCCTCTTCCCTCTATACTGCTTTCTTCTCCTTTGTTAGGGAGCACATAGTTTATTCATGTTTGCATAGGAAAATGTTAGCATGTGACTTTTTTTGTAGAGGAATGTATAAAGCTGTTACAAGCATATGGGGTAAGTAATGGATTTAAACTTAAAAAGGGGAAGTTCACGTTAGATATAAGGAAGAAGTTCTTTGCTGTGAGGGTGGTGAGAGGCTGGCACAGGTTGCCTGAAGAAGTGGTAAGTGCTCTATCCCTGGCAGTGTTCAAGGCCAGGGTGGACACAGCCTTGGGTGACATGGTCTAGCATGAGGCGCCCCTGCCCATGGCAGAGGGGCTGGAACTAGATGAACTTAAAGTCCCTTCCAGCCCAAACCATTCAAACAATCTATGATTCTATTTGTGCGTTTATTGATAGAGAATTTAGCTGATAGCGAAAACTTAACACTAGGAGAAATAAATGAACATTACTTCTTGAGGCTCAGCTCAGTTCTCCGTAGATTGCTCTTGGGGCATTACATTAAAGTGTTAAAGATACATCCAGTTTTTAAAGGATCAAGTGTAACTCAGTCGTCTGTGCTTGAAGATTCCCCTTGGGCTTATCAGCAATCCAAAACCAAACAACTTGGAGCAATTGTACTCCGTGGAGATAGAAACATGAAAGAGCTCCGACACTAAGCATGCAGTGCTTCTTATTTATTGCACAAAAATGAATGGAAAACTGGTTTGAATTACTAGTTTATTGCTGGGTTACTTCTGTGGCTGATGAACTAATTTAGAAACACTTAGACACTTTTATGCTGGAAAATCCATATTGCCACTCCTTAGTAGATGTGATACAGTTGTGATGGTGTAGATGGAAAATCGTCTTTGCTCTATGTGAACTGTAAAAATTGGGGTAGGGAGGGAATAGAGAACCTGGTCATATAACAACAAAGACTTTCACACATCTTTTTCCTTTCAGCATCTCAAGAGGGAAGATCTGTTTTGTGCATAAATAACTGATTTCCAGAGGACAGAACCAATGACAGAACTATCTGCGCATTTACCCCAGTTTCAGCATGGGCAACTGACAGAAAACTTCCCTGATAACCACCTCAGCAACACTGTATGTAAGAATTTTATTACCTGATAGCAGTTAAATCAGCATGAGTAATGAGTGCGGATGAACATACAGTTCAGAATGCTAGAAATCTCTCTGGGAGTAGTTGTCTCTCATCTGGACTGTTGTGGTGATAAGCTGATGAAAGAAATATCCTGTAAAGTATCATCTAATGTTCCAAATTAATTTTTATATACAGATAAGACTTCCTCAGTTTAAAGTGGTGTTAGAATGTCCAAGCCCTCAAGAAAAAAAAAGAAAATGGGATGAGTGGGATGCTCCCGTGTCAAACATTGACCTTTAGTGGATTTAGTGAACTCTTGTTCTAGCCTGGCTGTGATCTGCTCAATTCATAGGTTTCCCAGTTCATTTTAGTCTAGGTAGAACTGGAAGCCTGGGTTTTGTTACTGTTGCTGGAGTACTGCTGTGCAGGAAGAGCAGCACTGTCTTGTCTGTGAATAATTGTTAAGGTGCTTTCAGAGTTCTTGAGGGTTTTGTGGGAAGGGGGAACTCAAACCATAAACTTTCATAAGATTGCTTTGAAAGATTTGTTGCTCAAACTGTACCCATTGTACCACATGTGTTTTGGTAAAAAAAAGTTTAGATTATCTGATTGGGTGTGGTCCTCAGGCTCTTGGATTTGTCATGCTCAGCTCTTTGTTCTTTTATAGCTCTTAAATATCAGGTTTCCCTGTGACACAGAAATGCTCTTGTAAGGCTGGGCCCCTTGTAGCCATACTTATGGCAGTGATTCAAGAGAATATTTTGATCCCTGCTCTAACTCTTCTACACAATCCAGGATTTTGAAAAGTCCTTTGTTTTATCCCAAATGGGCAACCCGGTATATCAGTAAAAATAAAAAAAAACAGACACCTGAAAAGTTATTTTTAAATCAAAAAGTCAGTCTGACTAAAACCTTACTGTTTGTAAGAAACTGTAAATAAAAATAGGGAAGTGGAAGCTTTCCTACTAAGTGCTTTGTGAGGGAATGAAAAAGGCTTATTTTCCTCTTGGACAGGTGAGAGATTAACTTTTATTGAACGCTTCTGCCAGATAAAAAGGCAGAGCTCAGTCATAAGCTGTGGGCTCACCATCCTTACAGATGCACACAATCTTACGGGAGCAAGGTGATGCTCCTTCCTAGCAATGGGGGGCAGATAGTTCTATTTCCTTTTCACTAACAGATTGTATTTATGAATTACTACTACTACTTGTGGTGCTTTTTTTCCATGTTTTAAGTGTAACTCTAGGTGTGGTTTCAATATATAGTTGTAATGGGTTTTCTCACCTACACACATCTGCTTTGTTTTTGTGGAACATATAAAAGTGCTTTTCTGCTTAAGGGTATCCAGCTTCTGTGGCTAACAGAGTGTGAATGAACACTAAGTACTATAATTTGCCATCTCTTCTTCCAGTCACACCCCAAGAGTTCAGAAGAGTCTTCAGTATGTGTCATTGTATCATGACCTTTAAATTTAAATGGCGTATGTGAGAACTAGCAAGGTTTGTGCCCACTGTCAGGCAAAGTGGTCTGCTCCTTATGTATGAATCTGGATTTAATAAATAAAAACTCTTATCGAATATGCTAGGTCTTTATCTCTTGGTTCAGGGGCATTGCTCTGGGTTTGCTATTAACTATTTTACTGATAGGAAAAAACCACATTAACACTTTGCTTTTGATACTGTTTATTCACCTGAAAGCACATAGTTCATAACTTAATTTGCTTACAGTGTTACAACAGGTGTTACTGACTTTTTAGCTTCAGAATTTTCACTTTTAACAATGTCTGAGGAAAGCGAAGAGTCTGTTCCTTTGCTTCCACTTCAGCAAGAGTCCATGGCTTCTGCTCTGTTTAATACTGATCAGGTAGGATATGAGTGCACTTTGTTATTTTAAGCAGTGGGGCACACGCATGTCACGTTTACACTTTAGTAGCCTGAAAGGACAACTTTTTTCCTAGTTTTAACAGCAAATGAGAGGATAACTCTTACAACTCTTTTGATGCTGGTCTGCTTGTCATGCACTGTGTATTAGTATGTAAAGACATTTTGTGGTCGCATCTTTGTTATTAACTAGTGAAGGGAATAAAATGGCACATACTTGTCCGATTTCTTCAATTTTTCTCTTTCTGTTTGAGTTTGCAGTTTTTTGTAGTGGTGTGCTAGTTAATCAGGCAATTCTTTTGGCTCTTTCTGTGTTGGTGCTTTGCAAAGCTGTGGATTTTTTTTCCACTTTTACATTTTTATGCCTGAGATAGCGGTAATGGCTTCCTTGTGCTGGGCTGCTATTACAGCAGAAAAAGAGCAACACATTCTGCAAGTGTGCAGAAACCTAAATACTAGGTCTGCTTTGCTTGTGAAGTGTTCCAAGGCTCTTATAATCTCCAACATAGTATTACTTATGATCATTTCAGGCAGATTATTTAGGCAAACGGGTTTATTGTTATTTTAGGCTGAGAGAAATGGAGTAGGTTACTGTCAAAGTGAAAAAATGTTACATTTCAGCTATAATCTATACAGAAGGAGGTTCAGTTGCAGCCAGCATGTCAGAATAATTAAACATGATCTCTTTGCATTCTTCCATATTGCTGTTTCTATCTGATTTTCAATAATTATATGTGAGGACTTTACACAAAATTCCATGTGATTTATAACGAATCATTTAATAAGAAATAATATTGAACAGAATATCCTTAATGATACTAAATTCAAATTAAGGTTAAAAAATCTGTTTGCCTGCTAATTGTTTAGCTAAGAGAATTTTAGACTTTTTTTCTTCCCCTTATATTCAGGTTCTTTTTTGAAAAAATAAAGCAAACCTTCTGTGAGGACAGTTCTTGAAACCCTGCTTAGCCTTGATCCTGAGGATACCACAGAAAAGGAGTAAATAGGGAAAGTGTTTGGTGTGTATTGTTACTTAGTGATGTTTTGTAAAAGCAAATTTTTCATGAGGTGGAGAAGTTGTAAAGCTTCCACAAAGGTTTTAGCAGTGTCAGTGTTTGCAGTTCAAAGTCCAGGCACTTGTACTCCTTAATCACTTAAGTGCTTTTGAAAACCCCTGTGTGAGTTCCTGAGCGTAGACTTGACATCTGATCTTTCTGGATGGTGGGGCTGGGAAAATCCTTTATAAAGAATCTCTGAAATAATTATTGATTTATCAAAAACCCGCAGTGAATTAATGAGGTATAACTCAGCAGTTATGGTTGTAAATGCTGTTAAGAACAGGTAATGAGACTTTAACATTGTATGTATAAGGAAAAAATTAGTTGTGTAAGCAGAAATTCATTAGGTTATTTTCAATGCCCTATCTCATGTCTAGAGCAATTTTACTTAATGAGTGGTAGTTCATCCTTCAGTTTGTTGTACATTTTAATCTAAAGCTGCTTTAGTGCACTTAGTCAAACTGTTTGAAGTAATTCTGAAGAAATCAGATTAATTTTGTAAGGGGTCAAAAATCTGTATGTAAGTTCTCCTACGTTAAAGCTCTTGAGCGGAAGAAATAGAAATGGTACAGCATTGGCTGTGGACAGTAATGCAGTAAAAAAAAAAGTAGTCTTACTACTGCGTTTTGGGGCTTGTTTAGAGTGACCGGTAAACATAAAATGGTTTTGTTTCTTTGTAGTCCAGAACAGGTGAAACATAGGTTACTCTCCTGTTGTGTTCTCTGTATATGCACACTGTATATAAAAGGCTGAATGTCCCCTGCTGATGGGGCTTCTTGCAGAGGGTCAAAAGGTATGAGACACCAGGAGGAGTGCAGACCCCATCATCTACTTGTAGGTGTTATTTCCAGTCTGTTTTTGCTTGTGGTTAACCTTAATTCTGTTGAAAGTTTACCTCTGTCCTTGTGTTCAAATTATACCCTTGGTGTTTTATATAGCAACATCAGGAAAGCTAGGAGACTCTTTTGTATTTGTTAACAGGAGTGGTGGAATTTCTTCAGTGCCAGTAAAAGGTTGTGTCAATAGTATCCTTGGGAAAGGAGAGAAAGAATCTGCAAGCTTAGCTCATCATGCTAAATCTCTAGATCAAATCTCAGTACAAAGGCTGAGAATTACCTGAGTTTGATAACCATTTCTGTGTTATTCTTCTCCCTAAAAATGTGGGAACACAGTGCCTCTTGAAACTCCATTTTAATATATTCTAGTTGGTATATGGTAGTGGGAGTAATGTGGTAAAGACAGGAATTTTCTTGGGATTTTCATGGAATTAGGTCCATAAATATGTCATTTCTAGGAACAGATATAGTTAATTCTTGTGAAGCTGAGAGTAATCTTCTATCATGTACCCTTGTATGAACTGTAGTTTGGACCAAGGGGGAAAAGCTGTCAGTCTTTATTCAGTTTTAAAGGAAAGGGGATGTAGCTGTTAGATGCAGCCAGCCTACTTTCAGCTTTTGTTTCTAACATCACACTGTGCTCCCATTCTTTTGATAACTATGTGATGCAGTTAATTACTACTGTTTAAGTCCTTGCTGAGCCAAGTGTTCCTGACATTAAATATTACCTTACATGTATTCCTTTTGCTTCATGTACAGGAGTATAATTGTGGATAGTTGCTGAGGAGACTTTTTTGTGTGTTGCAGAATGACAGTTGTGAGAGACATCGCCATGATAATAGTGAGCGCAGAAGAAATGACAATCCTGACTCTGAGACCAATGGGCAGCCACAAAACATTCAGCAAGTGGTGGAACAAGAAGAAGAAGAAGATGAGGAGCTGACGCTGAAATATGGCGCAAAACATGTGATTATGTTATTTGTACCTGTCACACTTTGCATGGTGGTCGTTGTTGCAACCATCAAGTCTGTCAGCTTTTACACACGCAAGGATGGACAGCTGTATGTATCATTTTCCCCCCTATCTTTTTAATGGACTAACTTAGAAAATTTTCCATAATCTCCATTTCTTTGTGAGTCTAATTCAAGCAGGGAACTCCATCTTGCCTCCCTTTCTCTTTCACCAGCCCAAAGACTGTTTTGTTGTATTCCATCCAGAAACCAGACTCTTTGTGGTACTATCGACATTTGTTTTCTGTCTGGTGGCCAGTCAGGTTAATGTGGTTGTTATTACATGATTCAAATCCTAGTTCTCATTTTAAGACTTCATCATGCCCTGTGGCATTTAGAGAATAAACTGAAACCTGAGTCAAAGCCATTTCAGTTGTACTCTGCTACAATACAAACCTTTTGGAAAAGGAAGAAGCTACTCATTTAAATGAAGTAACAGATATGCCAAGTTCTGATTTTATCTATGCTGTTTGATAAATAAATAAATTCAAATGGAAGAGGAAAACAGCTTTTGAGGTTCACTTCAGTTGCATCTATAGATTTTTTTCTGGCAGGTTTGCTGTATAGAAAATGGCTTTTGTTTTGTTTTTTTGGGGGGTGGGGGGGAGGTGTTTGTTGGTTTGCTTTTCGGTTTTGTGGTTTGTTTTTTTTTTTTTTGTAAAATAGTCATGTTGTCAAAAAAAGGCAATTTCAGTGAAAGCTAATTTGAGAGAAAGGAATAAAGGAAGAGCACTGAACCTGTCACAACCTGCAGCAAATCAGTCTAAATATTCCATTGTGAAAACATCCAGACAAAATGGTTCAAAGTGTGTTTGCCTTTGAAATGTTTGTATAACATAAGCATGTTGTAAAATGCTTCAATAAAACACAAAGGTCTTTCTCTCCATCAAAGTTTTTAATCAAGGAATTATTTTTCTTTAGATTTTTATTTATGGTAAGTGTTCTCACCCACCAGTGAAGTGTTTTCCCCAGTATCTTGTATTTTTTTAAGACAGTTGAGCCCATTCTTTGGTTTGTTGAAACCACTGGGGGATCCTTTCACTGCAAATCCAGTAGATGGTGTGCTCATAAAAGTCTAGCTGCAGTAATAGTCTAATGAGTCATAGCATGTGAGTAATTTTATCAGGCAACATTGTGGTCTGTTTTTTTGATTGTTTTACAAAATACAAAATAGTAATAATCTAAGAATGTAGGAAAAGCAAGTCTTCTACGGATTTTTTAATTAAATTTTGCCTAATATGATACTATGCCTTTCAAATTTTGCCCAAGTAGGACATAGGTGTTGCTCTTACAGCTCTGAATTGAAAGATCAGTGCAATTTCAGTTGATGTATGCCTCATGTATCAGAAACATCTGCATTCAGTGGCATTTCAGTTGACTCTTTGTTGTTGTAGCATCTACACTCCTTTCACAGAAGAGACAGAGACAGTAGGACAGAGAGCCCTGAATTCAATTCTCAACGCAGCTATCATGATCAGTGTTATCATTGTCATGACCATACTCCTGGTTGTGCTTTACAAATACAGGTGCTACAAGGTGAGTATAAATATATCTGACCTGAGTAATTGTTCTATTTTTTTAGTACAGATTATTGAGAATGGAACAAAGTGAAGGATGTTATCAAGGATGAGTGAGCAAGTGTAGCAGAATTGGTGATTCGGTTTACTGTTACAGTTTTTGTGGCTACTGTTCCTCTGAGGCAGCAGGAGACATAGGCCCAGTGCTAAATCTGCTGGCTCTTTTGTCAGTTAGAATTGGGGTACCATTGCTTCCTATTGCTGTGAGATACCCATGTACTGAAATCTTCCTGCAGTCAAGAACTTACGAAGTACAGACCTGGTCCTACCATTTGAAATCTGTTCAGGACCTCAGGGCCTTTGCTCCTCCCCTCTCCCAGCCCTACCCCAGTACAGAAGTCTCCAAACAGTGTGATGTGTGCATGGCTGTACATGCCAGACAATATCCTAATAGCAAACACAGAGACACTAAGGCTCTTTTGTAAAAGACTTCAATCATATGATGTAATCTAGGCAAGTCCAGGCTGAGCATAAATAAATTGCCTGGGAGGAGTTGTTTGTGAAAATTCCTGGTTGCCTTTTGGTTTTGATGACCAAATTGACAAGGCTTGGCCTAATAAAACTTCCAAGTATGCAGCCAGAACCTTGAACCTGTTTCATGATTGTAAAACATAGTGGAATCCATGCACTGGCCCAAAGCTTTGCTTCACTTTATTTTATCGCCAAGAGGGAAAAATGGTTTTGGTCTTTATGGTTGTAGGTGAAACCCCTTTTCAAAGTATCTGTGAAGTGACTGGGGAAATTATTTTTGCCTGAATCTGCATACAGCTTGGAATGTGGTGGTGTTTTTTTTTTTTTAGGTATAGACTTTTGTTTTATCACATTGTGGTGTTAAATCTGGACTGACAAAGTTTTCTTTTTAAATTGCCAATTGTGTTCATTCTAATGAAGTCAAATAACTGATGTACTTCAGCTAGGTTCCTTAGCACCCAGTGGGTTCTCCTTAGGTGCTGAAGGTATCAACTATTTTTTACGAAGCTTTTCACATTTCTGGCTTCCTTCTTGACCTTACAAAGTACTGCACATTCTTCTTACAAAAATAATTGCTGTAGTAAAAAAATTGTAATGATCAGACAACAGAAATTTTCTGTAGTTGTTTTATGCTAATTAAAAGAAATATGACTTATTTTTATAATTGCTAACAGTGTATTTCTATGCTGCTATACGAGAATGCTGTAAAATGTAGTTACATGTCCATCTGAATGTATTTTGCATGCAGTATGTAGTCTAGATTATGGGGAATGGAATTTACAATGAAAGAACATTATGCCTCCGGCTGGGAGTAATAACGTGCTTATTTTTCATAAGATTTTTATCTGAAAACTCCTTTGAAGAAAGGAAATACTGTCACAGCTTTACTGCTGTTAGTTTCCTATGTTTCTTCTGTATGTGATAAGTTAAGCATGGTCCTCATTCTAGCTCCTACATCTAATCACAGCATCTTCGAAGATGATTCTATTTGACTAACTTTTCTTATACTGTTTTTTATTATTCTCTGCATGTGTCATTGTTTTAGCCAGATCTGGCTGCTGTAGCTCATTTTAATTCTCTGCATTCTGCCATCAAAGTCAACTCTGTACCAGCAATCAATTAGCATCGAAGCTGTTGTCAAATGAAGAATTAAGATTATTTGATTAGTAGGCAACAGACCTGCCATGGTATCCTGCTTGGAAAACATTGGCCAAAAGTTGGAAGAAGCACTCTGGCAAAATCACTTGTATGAAAAGAGGCTGGTGATCTGAAAAATGCTATAGCAACTGAGAGACATACTGAGAATAAAACAAACTTCTGTGTATAAAATGCCCACTTATGACAAGTCTTGAAACTACCTTTAGTACTGCTGACAATAGTTATGCAAAGTGCGTGCAAACTGCCTTGGTACTAATGGCCTTGGGGTTTGATATTATTAATGTTTTATTCTTTAGTAGAATGAAATGGTAGTATTCACTTTAATTTCTTAAGTGGTAAAAAAGTTTAAGAGCTTATACTACAAATATAATAAATACACCTAGAAGTCATGTTGTTGTTAAAGGAAAAAAGTGGTTTCAACTGATTTTACAGAGGATTAAAATTCCTCTTTTTATGTCACTACCTAGATATATAGATAGCTTTACAAGCTATTTGAAAGTTGGATTCCGTTTCAGGTATCTTTCAGTCTTCAGCTTTAGTACATTTTCTTCCCTCCCCACTAGCTCTGAGTTGACAGTTTGACTGATTGAGACAGATACTTTGGCAGTTTTCCTGCAGCATCTTTACAGGCACCATGCTTATTATGTGTGGGAAATGAAGTCTTTTAGAGACTGTACTAGGAAATATGGAAAGCCAGTCTGTTGGATTAGCAAGTTAACTGACAAGTTTTATTAGGCTGAAGGTTGAATTTGAACCTGTTTTGAAAGACTGCGAGGGATGAGAATGAATATTTCAAAAATCCCTGGGAATTTAAAAAATGCTTATGAAAAATTTAGTATTAAGCTGAATGTTCTAAATTACCACCTAATAGCTAGATTATTAATTTGCTGGCAAGTCCTGTTTACCTCACGTAAACATGATTCCTTCAGTCTGTGCACATGTGCTTTACATCTAACTTTTGCAAAATACTTTAAAAACTATACCATAAGATACATTCTACTACACATCTTTCAGAAGAGAAAAAGATAACACAGTTTCTAAACACTTGCTGAATACTTCAATCTGGTGAACATATATAGCTAATTTTCCACTAAGCATGTCTAATTCAAGCAGGATTTCTTATGCAGTTTGAATTTCTAGAGTACTACTTCTGAGTGGTTTTGTACTTGCAGTGTTGGGTCTGGTTTTATATGCAAGATTCTGTGCTTGGAATTTGACAAATATGTTTCATTCTCAATTTAGAGATTACAAAAGCTACAGGTCTCTTAAATCTTAATTTTTAATTTTGCACAGTAATACACGTAAGTGCTATGCACTTTTGTCAGTGTGAAGTCTGCATGTCTGTCTTTTCCAGGGTTAAATCTATGCATGTTTCCACTGAGTGCAACCCTGAACTGTTTTTAGTTAAATTGCTGGGCATGTGTATCTGCTCTCATATCAGAATTAGGGATTGTCTGTAGATGATTGATATATATTCGTATGAGAATATAGAAATCCTTATATAGTTATTCATCAATGGCATGCTAATTCTGAATTTCAGCAGATAAGAACTGAAGGTTTTTCTATGTTCCAGCATTTAATTTTATAACTGTATTCTGAAAATGTTTTAAAATAAGATCAGGCTCTTTAACTCCACAAAAATGAACCATGTTTTCCATCTGTGTTAGTACTGGATACTTCTGCTATTAATGTCACTTGTCAAAATGGCCTAAAAAATATACAGACAGTAATTTTCACTGTATACCGCCTCTATCAAAAGATCACAAAGCACTTACAGTTCATAAGTGTAAATTGAAATACAGTAATGTGTGTAGGCTAAATATGAACCGTAGCAAAAACCAAGAGAGCTATCTTGAATATTAACTTTCTTGCTTAAATCAAAATGGAAAATAAAAGCATTATAAGTAGATACTAATTTAAAAAAACATATCTTAAAAAAATCTGTATTGATATCTTTTATACAGGTGATCCATGGCTGGCTTATAATTTCTTCTCTTTTGCTGCTTTTCTTTTTCTCATTCATCTACCTGGGGTAAGTGAACTAAAGCATTAATATGCTATTTTTAATGTCTCACTTTGTCTATTTATTTTAGAACTAGTCCTTGAATCTTAAGAATGCCAGTGAGTAAACTATTGTAATGAAATCTTTAGTTTTATATAGTTCCATAGAGTACACTTAAAAGAGAGATTTGTGGGTTTACAGTGCATCTGATACACAGAGGTTGTCCATCATGTGCATCACTAAAATAAGCTGTCTTCTACAGGGTAGCTTATTCTGTTAGCATATCTTCTGATAACTTTAATTTTTCATAGCCATATGACTCAAGAGTGGTTGTTTACTTTGTGGCTTTTGTGGTGGGCTGTATATGCAACGGCTGTTTGCATGTGAGTGTCAGAAAAGAATCAACTGAAAAGAACTGCCTCTCTCACCAAAATATGTTGTGTTTTTCTTTTCAAATTTGGAAGAGTGCCTTTATCCAGACATCAGGAAAAGTTGTTCATAATAGTTGGCATTTTCTAAAACAAGCAACCTGATCAGGGTTTGTAACTAGAGTTATGCCACAGAGCTATTACACTTCTGTGTATTTTTGTACCACTTGATGACAGGTACACTTCTTTTTGAAGAAGCTTGTTTAATTTGGACAATAAGGGGAGAAAGTGGTGTTCTTTCAGTCCCTTAATTTTTGCCAAAAGTGATCTGTGATGCCTTTTTTTGATCAGTATTTTCTCTAACCTTATTAACAACTTTTGAAATACAAAGCAAGGTCTGCTGCACAAGTGCAGTGCAGGCTAGGTGGAGGTGAGTTGAAAGTCTCACCTCCTTTGGGTTTGGGTTGGAGCTAGCACTTTTCCATGAATATGTGTGAGTAGAAAGACTAAAGGCTTTCCTTCTTCCTTCTGATGTTCAAAAATCATATGCGCAGTCAGAGTGACTGGTCATAGAATTACAGAATAGTTAGGGTTGGAAAGGACCTCAAGATCTTCTAGTTCCAACCCCCCTGCCTTGGGCAGGGACACCTCACACTAGGCCATATTGCTCAAGGCTCTGTCCAGCCTAGCTGTGTCCTTTCCTGTCAATTTTGGTTTTGTTTGAGAAGGAAATAAAACATTAATGATAATTTTCAGAAAAGTGAAAGAGTTGGTGTGAAACAAACACTGGTAAAACTACCCCTTTTGTCAAGAACAGGGAGATTCTAATTGAAGATTGAATTTTACATTTGTGCTAACATTGAATATGAAAATTTTAAATAACAGTATTATGAAACTTGCATCTGTAACCTGTTTACATTGTTTTGAGCAAATGTGGTCCATAGTATTTTCTTTTATTTCTTTTTTAGTGAGGTTTTTAAGACATATAACGTTGCCATGGACTACATTACGGTGGCACTCATGATCTGGAACTTCGGTGTTGTGGGAATGATTTGTATTCATTGGAAGGGTCCACTCCGGCTCCAGCAGGCATATCTCATTATGATAAGTGCTCTCATGGCTTTGGTGTTCATTAAGTACCTTCCTGAATGGACTGCATGGCTTATCCTGGCTGTCATTTCAGTGTATGGTAAGGTCTGGGGCAAGGCACAGTAACAGGTATTATGGTGGGAATCTCTTCTACTCCCTGACTTTCCTGTTTGTCTGATTAGACCTTTAAAAAGATAAAGGGGGGGGGGGGGGGGGGGGGGAGTAGGAGGGTGTTGGTGTCGTCCATGGCAGATAAGGCGATTACAAAACTTCAGAAATAAGATCATGATCTAAACTGAGATTGGTCCCCCACAGCTAAGGGCTTTGTGTGACTGTGTGGTGCCATCTTCCTTCATGTTTTCTGAACTTTCTAGATTCTCTGGGGAGAATTGAACTAATTCAAGAAAGGAGGAGATACGAGACTTATGTTGCCATTTTGATCTCTTCTATGAAGGTGGAGAGTTTTTAGCTTCTCATTTTATCCAAGAATTTTTGGAAACTATTTTATGTTCAGAATTTAGGAGCTTGTTGTTTGTGTATAGTCCCATACAGGTATAAATCTGCGTAACCTACAAATTGCTCAAATTTGTGGACATAAACAACACCCTGATCCATGTCTAGTAATGTAATGAGAAGGAAGCAAGGAGTGATTAAAGACAGTTTTAATTGCTCAAAGTCATTTTACATTTAGAAGAACATGGTTGTGAGATTTGTTTCTTTGACTTTTTTATATAAAAAGAAAATTCACTTGAATTACCGCATATTAGACTTTTTCAGAATGATGACTGATGCGTAGATGTAGTTTTTTCATAAAGCTTTAGAGGGCAGTGGACACTTGGTAAGAAGATCACTCTATATCCCAAATACTAATTTAGTTCCCAGGCAAGACTAAAATCCAGTTACTTAGGCATAATTAAAACATTACAGCCATGAAGATGTGCTCATAACTTGATTTTGTTTTGGAAGCATGTAAGTGTGATGAATGTGTACTCTGAAAGTCACTGACGGTGATAAAGACTGAGAATGTGTCCAGCTGTAGAAGTGTAGGGTTTAATAAGATTGTATTAGCTCTGATAGGTCAGTGTACTCCCTAGGTGTGCTCTCCTTTCAGAGGAAGAAAAAATGTCCCTTGTGTGTATGCTCATGGATCATAAGGCACAGAAAGAAAACCTTCCCATTCCCCATTCCAGCTTCCACCCTTCTTGTGACTGGAACAAATCTGAGTATTCCAAGCATTCAGCCTTCCTACAGTGATTGCAAAACAGAATTACTCTTTTGGACATATTCAATAATGTGGTTATTTTGAGTATAGGGGAAGGCAAGTTTCAAAGCCTGTGATCCCACACTGTGAGTGCCAGATTTTGTTTCAAATCAATTTAAAGACATACAGTGAGTAGAGAATTGCAAGTGGTAGTAGCAAGGTTAATATGTAAGTGTTACAGATTTCTGTCCAAATATGCAAGACAAGGGAAAGGTAGCTGAGGTTGTTTGTGGAGTTGCAAATTTCATTAACAAGCCGTTGACATTCAGCTGAGAAAACACATGGAGCATCTGATAGATCAGTTTTTCTTAATGCTGTGCTTTGATCTGTGCTTTGATGAGTAACTTGTTTCAGTTACAGTCATAGAGTTAATTTACAAAACAGTTATCCTGTTTTGGAAATTATTGATTTTTTTTTTCAGTTAATTTTTATTTGTTCACCCAGTTTCATACACTGTCCCATGAACAAGAATTGAGAGAAGCAACAAAAAGCTGCTGTCTTTTTATTATGCTAAAGATGCTTGAACACTTCTCAAATGTACGCAAACAGAGCATTTTTCTGCAATGCATAATAAACCTGGGTTTTTTCCTTTTCGTGTGCACATTCACTTTTTTATCTGTAAGTGGGAATGAATATACAGGCATGCCTACTTAGAGGTTATGTGAGCCTCACTTACCTGTTGTCTTAAAATTTATTCTGGCATTAAACTTGGTTTAGGAAAAGCTTTGATAATAGAAAGCAAGATTGGGTATTTCCAAGATGTTAGTTGAGAGCAAATAATTCACAAAAGTTAGTATTCAATTTACAAGACAACATACAGATACAAAAAAATGTGATGTCCTCACTTAAGATAATATGCAATAGTAAATGTAAGTAGTCTGCAGTGATGCAAGATCTGTTCACTCTTCCTTTCAGACTTGGTTGCTGTCCTATGTCCTAAAGGTCCTCTTCGCATGCTAGTTGAAACGGCTCAAGAGAGAAATGAAACTCTCTTCCCAGCACTTATTTACTCCTGTAAGTACATTTCTCACTCAGCTGAAGTGATTTGCTCATTTTTCTGTATTTTAGCATGGTGCTTGTCAGCTGGAATTTTTAGTCTGGTCATTGGGGCCTCAGTTTTCCTTTCATTGTTGCTTCAAAAGTGTGGAACATCTTCTGGCTGAGATCTCCTGAAATAAAACCCAGCATACTTTGTTACAAAACATATGAACAGGAAAAATGGTAATACACCTTGTCTTGGCCAAAGAATTGTGTCATTAAGCTGTGAATTAAGCCTATGCAAAAGGAGTTATTTTTTTTCAGAAAATATTTATGAGCTTTAAGAACTTAAACAATCTTTGTGCTACTGGAAGGACAGGGAGAAATTGCCAGGAGGAGATTCGTTTATAGAACTGTTTTCTCCAGGGCTTGTCTTTTTCCATACATTGTTTCTCCCCTGCAGTTGTGAAAAATAAGCCACAGAATGCGGTTTGCTGTCATCACCTGTGTAATTAGTACATAGTTCCACTGTTTCTGAAGTTCCACATCAGAACATTTTAGTTTGTACAACCAACTGTTGCTAGCTCTAGTGTTTCGGATAAATGGTGAAATAGGTTAATGGTCAGTCAGTATGCTACTGGTGCTCCAGAAAGGCCTGTGTTTGGAAGCAGGAATTGTGCTGTAGAAGGGCTACGTCAGGGACAAGGTTACAGAGAATGGTGAGGGTTTTCTTCATCTGTCACTCTTGCTGTGTTTTACTGATACTACTCACAGTTGCCTGTTCTGTTTTGTGGGAGGAGAGGCTAATGCTAAGAAACCACAAACCTGAATTAAAATACACTATTTAAGTGTGACAGCATTTCATTACCTCTAGATTGGAAAGTTCTTTGTGATGGTGGGGGCAAAGAACTATTAAATTTGATGCAGATAACTGCCTCTGAATTGAGGTACCTCAGTACCAGTCTTAATAGACCTTTTTACTTGCAGAGAAAATAACTGATCAGTGGAAAAAAGTAACGAATTTGTTGATTCAGATTTTCAGAGTGGGCCTCCTCATATGTAGAAGTATTTTCTCTGGCAACAGCTGTTGCCATTTTTTCAACATCTAGCAGAAATAAGACTTTTATTCTCCAAATTCTCTAAATGCATGTTGTATCTGGTACTGGCTGTGTTCCGGGTATTACTGTGCTTTAATGAGAGTGAAATTGCCTGTTGCAAAAGATAGATGTATCAAAAAAAAAAAAAAAAGAAAATGAATGGATTGATGCCATTATCTGATTAGCTGTGCTGGTGTGGGTTTTATTTTTTTGTTGTTTAATAGCAACAATGATATGGTTGGTTAACATGGCTGAGGAAGATCCAGAAGCCCAACGGAAAGCTTCCAAAAATGCTACTTACGATAAACAAGGTGAGTTTTACTTTGGCAGGCCTTCATTGTTGTCATTTTATTGAAATACATGTTTATGGATATTTGGGGGTTAGCTTTTTAAGTGTTCTGACTGCTGTGGAAGAGTGAAATGATGAATCTGTCAAGACCTCAAAAATGACTTGCTTATTGTGTGGTTAACGTATTTGTTTTTCTGGGATCCAGGATGGTCGTGGTGAAATGACTGTCAATAGGCAGTCAATAGCTTGTCAAATTGGGATGATACAGCATAATGCTAACTGTATTAAGCAGAAATGTGTCTAGGCCTCCTGGCTATGCAGCTAGTGTTTAAAAACATGGTTTACTTGTTTACATGTATTAGTAAAGAAGAGTAGAGTTTCTGAATTTAACATACTTGAAAGAGTGTTATGTATCTGTAACTTTCAGCAATATTTTCTACTTTACTGGAAAATTACACAGTGTTGATTAAAGAAGTTAATAAAAGATGAGAGTTTATACCTTAAACTGCGATCTTTAAATTAGGTCACCACAGAACTTCCACTCTGTTATTTCGAAGTACTCCTGAATACTAGGACCTGAGTTTAGCATATAGATACTGTGACTGCAGAGTGCACTTTGACTCCTGATTGTTTAAATAAGTGAGAATGTGTTGTAATGGTGTTCACCAATGTTAAATGTTGCTAAATATTATGAAATACCTCTTTTTTCCTCATTCATTTATGTTCTTACATGTGGAGAAATTGTCATATTTTAGAAGGCACTTTTTTGAAGGTGATCTTAAATGCTTTTCTTCCTTTGAGCTCCGGCAAACCAGACTCGGAATGAAGATGCTGAAGCAGATGATGGTGGATTTAGTCAGGAATGGCAGCAACAAAGGGACAATAGAATAGGACCCATTGAATCAACACCTGAATCTCGTGCTGCTGTTCAGGCTCTACCCAGTAACTCTCAAACAAGTGAAGACCCTGAAGAACGTGAGTATGAAGTACTGTGCCCAGAAGACTTAGTAAATCTGAAGCTAGTTAGTCTTGGGTATTCCGGCTGCACAGATAGAGTATGCTATGAGCTAATAGCATCAACGAAGAACTGCTCTTGCTCATGATCAGTACTGACATGCCTTATAGAAATAGATGGAGTTGCTTTTTGGTAGCTGCAGGAGTGAGTAGTATTGGCCAAATTGCTCTTCAGTTTGGTACACAGACGTAAAACTCGAAAAACACAAGCTCCTTTTAGACCATTATACAGTCAGTTGCATTAGCTTCTTTTCCACGCGGTGTTCTGCTGTATATCATCTCTTGGATTTTAGGCCCTGTAAAAGCAGTCATTAACATCTTTTGCCTCAAGATTAAACTACTGTAATCCACTCTGTAGAAAGCAATGTTTAAAACCTAATTGGAGACTGAAATGAATGCAGAATGCCAAGAGCTTGCTTATTTTTCTCCAGCCTCTTCCTGATTGATCATCTCTGGAGAGCATATGACATTGATACTCAGAGATCTGTTTTAACAGGCTTGTGATTTCCATTTGCAGTTTAACTGCTATTAAGATTTGCAAAGCTCTTAATAAATGAGGGTCTACCTGTCTGATAAACTGCTCTCCCCATGTGATGCTCTGTATGATACAGGTGCAACTACTTCCTCTGATTCTCAGGTACTCCTTTGTTTCTAAAATTGTTCTTAAAGTGGAAGTCTATTTTTCATTTATTTTGTCCCCAAAATTCCGAATTCAGAGTGTGTTACAAATCCATTTTAATTTATAGAGCTTAGAAAAATAACATGAAAATGCAAAAAATTTGCGATTTGGGCTATTTTAGTTAGTTAAGTAGTTAACTAAAACTCTCTTCTGGTCAGACTAATGATTTTCTCCCTCCTGTATTCCTAAAGCGAATAGTAATGACAGATGTGCAGCGATCCAGAGTTGTTAGCCAGCATTAGCTTACTAGAAATTTGGAGCAGCTCATTAGAAATTTGGAGAGTTCACTTGTGTGGAAGGACTTGCCTTTGCTTATTGTTCTGTCACACTGAAAAAGCAAGCATCAAAGTTTTGTGTCAGCAGTTTTGAGGTTGCCTTGTTTTTCCTCTGTCTTCTTCCCCAGCCCCCTTCTTTTTTTCCATTGTTTTTTCCCCAATGATAATCAGGCATACACCTCTTTTTGATAATTTAAGTTCTTAGAACTAAAATGAGTTTTGTGCTGGACAGTAATCGGGTAACAAAGTAAACAATAGGCCAAATGAAAACAGCTGGTGACCCAAGGTTGGCCTCTCTGACTTAGTATCTTGGATTAGAAGCTCAAAGTGTACTGGTGTTCAGGAAATCTTCATTACTTTGTTTGCAGAAATAATTGAGTGTTGTGTTCCCAGAGTTGTTGCTAAGGTTGGTGATTACTGTTTAAAAGACTAAGGCATTAACTCATAAGTTTTCCTAGACCTCACATCTTAGACTAAGTATCTTGGGTTTTTGCCTTTGTGATGTGCTCTGTAATCACACACAAGTGCTTTTTAGAGCTACCTTAGTAAGAATTCTGTAGGAAAACTGGGAGGGCAGTGGAACATTTTGCTGGCAAATAAAACATCATCTGCAAAGGGCTTTTTTGTATTCTCCCTCAGACATCTTAAAGAAATTGTACTTGAGTATTCTGTTGAATATGCTATGACAACCAGAAGTGGACATTCCCTGAACAAATATTATTACAAACATATATTTGTATATATTGCATCTGTATGTACAGGGGACTAGGAACATAGAAAAATTCTGATTATATGTTTGAGTGGTATAATGTTCCTAAGACGTCTTGTTTCACAAGACTTTTTATCACTTGATTCAGGAGTAATGCTAGTTTTGAAAAGAAAATGTTCTTGCTAACAAGTCTAGTTAAAACATACTGTAAATCTGTATTCTCTGACACTTACTGATGCTTAATATTAGTAGATTGTCTGGTATTTAATGCTGCTATATATTCACTTTTGCAGGAGGAGTAAAGCTAGGTTTAGGAGACTTCATTTTCTACAGTGTTCTTGTCGGCAAAGCCTCCGCAACAGCAAGCGGGGATTGGAATACAACTTTAGCCTGTTTTGTAGCCATATTAATTGTGAGTATGATGTAATATTATAATAGGCATAGTTTCTATTGTTCGTCAGAGGCAAAGTCATAACTACTGCTATTTTTTATTTGGAATTCATTTATCTGGTGACCAGATGAATGAGGAAAACTGATGAGGACTTTAGCTGTCATCTTTGCTGGCTGTACATCTGTCACTTAAGCCTTTAGTTTAAGAAGACATGAGCTGTATCTTGTATTTCTGTGAGAATAATGTTTGCATATATATAATCTTTTGCTTGTCAGAGTTCCCTAATTTCTCCCTATGTTTTTTGTTTTGTTTTTTTTTTTCCTCTCAGGGTCTGTGCCTTACACTTCTGCTTCTTGCCATCTTTAAGAAGGCCTTACCAGCTCTTCCAATCTCCATAACCTTTGGGCTTGTTTTTTACTTTGCTACAGATAACTTGGTGCAGCCCTTTATGGACCAGCTAGCATTCCATCAGTTTTATATCTAGCACATTTGATGCTGGTATGGATATTTGTAGCAAATCTTCAGGAGGAAAAATGTTTTTCCTTCAGTTCTCAAGTGAGACTGAAGTTTAATACTCAAGATTCCAAGCCTGAATCATTACAACTTCCTCCAGTGGCGTGGGTTTTTGTTGGTTTGGTTGTTATTTTTCCTGAGACGACTGCTGCACTGAGCACCATAAGAGCTTTTTCTGTGTGAAAATGACTTCTTCCTGATAGCCGGTCTAAACCGGGTGCTATTATATCAGAAGTAATCTGATACATGTATTTATCTCTGGTGAGGACCACCGCTGTGAGAGTTGCTAATGCTTCCACCAGCAATGTGATCTCTTACCACAGGTTGATTATTTTCACAGCATTAAGGGTGCTCAGGACTTCCTTGATGTTAACAGAGGAAGCTGACAAATCACAAGGAACTTGTCCCTGTAACTGCTTAAAGAGAAAAAAAAAAACCAATTCAGACTTCTTCGGCAGAGATTTTTTGACAGTGGAGTCTTTGTGTAATGAGAAGATACTTTGCAGCAATTTGACAAAGGTAGAAGGGACTGTCATTCTAAGAGTGTTCCACCACTTCATAGCCTCTGTGCCTGAGCATGCTTTGTTCATTAAATATAAAAGCTTTTTTTTTCCCACACTGGAACGAGACCCTCTTCTCAGTTTTAATACTTTGAATCCTCAAGCATGGAGTGCACGTTCTGTACACGTGCTCCAGTTTATGTAGCTACTTAGACTTGGACTGAATTATTTGGCATTAGTAGTTCATAAGGTCCTAATTTGGATCTTAGGTTCTAGAAGGTCAATAAACTACATTAAAAAGCAATTTCAGGACCTACTCTCTGTGCTCTTGCAGATCATTTTACTAGAACACTATTTCAAACCCTGTGTTTGAGAATGGTCACTAACAGCATGGACTGCATTGTTGGTATATGTTCCTTCTATTGAAATTCTTGTAAGTACACATCTGCAGCAATCCCAGATGGAGTTTAGCTCGCCGGATCTAGAGGCCAAAGTGCTATTAGTAGCACTTCTAATGCTTCATTTAAATTTTTCCTTGTCAAAAATGTGGTTTACAGTTCAGTTGACCTGAAATATTGGTCAGTCAACCCTCTAGCACCTCAGGCTGGGCAGGGTTGGTTTTCTGGTTGGTTTTTTGTTTTCATGCAGTATCTTTATTGGTGAGGATACTTAAGTTGAGACGTTAATTAGTGTTACTGATAAGCGAAATTTGTGACCACCTTCACTTTACTTACCTTTCCTGTGAGGAACCTGGAAAAATGAAATACAACTCAGTCACTGAAAAGAAGACAGAAGATTTTGAACTTCTTATGAGAAAAAGAATTGATTCAAACCTTAAAACTACTAAACTCTGTTTTCTTCTTCATTTGAAAGAAATAATTTCTAAATAATTGCTTGGAAATGAGTCTTGTGCAAGATAAAGTTGATTTTGCCGTAGGCTCTTACTCTGTACAAGTAATTTATTTTCTGAGGGAAGCATAGGGAGTGGGTACTGTTGATGGGCATTCCATTTTACTTTCATCTTGATACTGGAGTCCCTGCCAAGTAGAAAAACTGTCAAAATCCTGACAAGTTCCTGTTACCTTTTTTTAGGACTTTGTTTCAGTGCCTGTAGATTCAAAGGACTGAGACACCACAGATGCTCACCAACCATTGCCCAAATAAGGGAAGAAAGGCTATGATGTAATAATTTGCTTTAAAACCAGGAGAGGTTTACTTTGATTGTCCTTGGAAACATCTGTCTCTTCTAGTATGACTTGCTAACTACAGTGTTAGCATCTGCGTTCTCATAAAATATATTGCCTTGTCTCCTCTAAAGTACTTTCATTCATTATCACTTTGTTTATTTCACCCATGAGATAAATAAATAAATTTCATTTTAGTCAACATGCCTTCAGGAAGGGCAAGTCATGCCTGACAAATCTGATGGCCTTCTATGATGGGCCTACAGGACTGGTGGATAAGGGGAGGACAATTGACATCATCTACCTTGACTTTTACAAGGTATTTGACACTGTCCCACATGGCATCCTTGCCTAAATTAGAGACATGGGTTTGACCTGATGGATAAGGAATTGGCTTGATGGTCACACTCGGAGAGGTGTGGTCAATGGCTGGATGTCAAAGTGGAGATCAGTTGATGAGTGGCATTCCTCAGGGGTTGGCATTGGGACCCTGGGGTTGGAAGTACTCTTTAAGGTTCATTCCAACACAAACCATTCTGTTGTTCTATGATCTCATTTGTGTGCTGATTTGTTATGGGTAGCATTATTAAAACAACCATATCAAAATTGCTTACACTGACTTTTCAAGTCAGACTTGCTTGTGTTTTCTAGCTTAAATCACTGTTCTGTTTTTGAAGCCTGACCCTAAAACAAGTTGTCTGTTTTGTTTTCTGTTTTTTTTACAAGACTTTTACATGGTTTTATACTATTGTAACTTGTCCCTTTCCTGAGCATTATATCTAAGAAAATTCTCTTGTGTGTTTTATTTGGCATCCTAACTATTGTTTTGTTGTGTAGAACAGGCTTGCTAAGAGTTGGCATCACTAGCATCAGTTTGCCTATCTGAGCCGACTCTCAGTCAAGGGTTGTTACTTAAATGCCCCAGTTATCTTTATTATTTGGGGTTTTGGCTTAAATATGCACCACGGGAGCACTATCTCTATGAAGAGTTGCTTTAGAATCTATAGAAATGCACAAAAGCCTTTCCATATACTTGAATGGGTGTTAGATGTACAACCCAAGGAAGAGCTCAGAATCTTCAAACGCTAAATTGCCTATATTCTGCCCCCCAGCACTGCATCTGCTATCCTGAAGTTCTAATTTCTGAGCTAGTGTGGACTTACAGTGGTGGAGGCTGTAAAATTTATATTCACAGAAACTGTTCAAGTTTATGTATTTGAATGTCAAATTCAGAAGGGAAACTGCTTTTCCAGCCCAGACCAATGTATGTTAAAATAAACTGCTTATTACCAAGTCTTACGTACACTTTCAGAAACCAGATGAAATTTTCTAGATTTGCCCTGTTATACCAAGTCATGGTAGCTTATGTTCCAAATGAGATCTTGCAACCAAAGATTATCTCAGTACTTGGGTCCATGATGTTCAGCTGAGAATAGTCTTTGTTTGCTTGTGGGTTGTAAGCTACATAAGCGTGAAGGTTGTGTCACTTTCCTCTCCTTTGTCTTAAAACACCAGTCTGAGATTGTGAACCATTTCAGCTTGGCTAGCTTGGTATAACTGAAGGACTTCAATGTGTAGTCTGCATTTTTGTGAGTTTTTGTTATTATTAAATTAGTATGTTAATGACAGCACATTAGACTGTAGCTCTGAAAGAACTATTGTGTAACCCTAGTAGCTAAATTAATCTCTTTTGTGCCCAGGCAGACTGACTGGTAGCTGGTGTGTGACTGTTCCAGTGTTCATACTTTGAAACTGGGTGTCATGATAGCTTTCTCTTCCCTTTCAGCTTACATCAGTGATTAGTCTCCTTTGGCTAAGCTTCAGATAAATAAATGAGGAAAAAATAATACTGAGTTACATACTTGCCTAAAACCTGGCCACTTTCATTTCTCCTGTTTTTTTCCTGTTGGGGGATTTAATCCAGAGCAAAAAAGAGAGAACCCTGGAAGCTGGTCTTCATAGAAATTTGTATGATGCTGTCGTATCTACATATGGCATATACATATGGTATAGTGCTATCTGTGGTGGCACTCAAATTCAAATGTCATCTGTGTGAGGTGAGATTTGCAGGTATGCATGTGATATTGCAACACATACAGAATAGTTCTGACTGGGCAGATGATGACTTCTTTGAGCCAAATAACCAAGGGCTGTGCTCCACTAAAAATGTACAAAGCAAACCGTAACTATTTCAGGCATAGGAGACTGGTGCTTCTTGGATATATAGATATGTATCTGTACCTGTAGCCATGTAGATATATATGTATTCTGGGCCTGTAAATGAGAAATGTTCTGCCGTTAGTGCAGTCAAGAGTTAAATTTGCAGAAGTACATTTTGGGTGGACGGTACTGTATGACAAAACTTCTCAAAATGCTTTATTTAAAAAGACATTACTTTTGGCAATGATGCTGTTGAAATGAGTTTAATAGACTGTGGAACATGTCTGCACTGTGATTGCATCTCGGTGGTAACTTGGTCATTGGGAACGCTGAAACATGAACTAGAATGGAATTCTACACTTGCTGTTTTCTTTTTTACGAACACTGGTTTGTACATAACCTGAATTGAATGTGAATGTTTTTTAAACACCTTTCGTGTTCTTGATAAGTTTTTGATAGATTATTGCAAATTTTACTGTGTTTGTCTTAATTATTAAAATAAAAGTTGCATGGATCCTGACTTATCTTGCCTTTACTATATTATTTTAAAGTCATCACTTAAAGCTGTTGGAGGCCTAAACACCATAGCTGTTTTGACTCAGCATTTGAGTGAGATTCTTGACTTAAGACACTTAGGTACCTGCTTTATTTCCCAGCGGCAGAGCTTCACGCCGATTTCTGTAGAAGTACTTTCTTCTGAAAGCTATTTTTTGTGTTCCATCTAAAGAGTGAGTCCAGGCTTGTTGTAGAGGCACCCATAAGGTATAATTAAGGCATGAGAAAACAGTATGCGATTATACTGAAACACCAGGTAACACAAAGATCGTTGTTACCGAGGAAAAATACATAGGATGCTCAGAATGAAAACATTTCACAAACAGCGGTATGTAGTGTGACTTTTCTAATTGTATTGATATGAAATTGGCAGCAAAGAGCTTTTCCCTAGGAGGACTTTTTGTCATTATTTTGGGGAAGTATTCACTGCAAAATTCAGATCTGTCTGAGTTAACTGACTGCTATTGAAGCTGTTTCTTGGGGACTGCCTTGTCTCTGGATGGAAGGCCTGCATGGAAGACCTAAAGAAAGGTCCATATTGACAAGTAGAAAGTCGAGCAGAGGTGGTGGCAGGTCTCCATGGATGAACAAGGAGCTCCTCACTGAACCCAAACAGGAAGTGACCCAAAAGGAGCATGGAGTTTCTTTTAAGATCTTGCAGGGTTAGGAAACCCAGGGCCCCTCTGGAGTTGGATCTTGCAAGGGATATGAAGGGCAAGAAGAAAGAATTCTACAACTATATAACAGCAACAGTAAGACTAGGGAAAGTAAGACTAGGTGCCCCCCTGCTGAATGGGGCAGGGGAACTTGTGTCAAACGGCAAGGAGAAGGCTGAGGTACTTGCTGGCAGGACTGGCCTTTAAGGAATCGTACCCCTGAGACCAGAGGGAAGGTCTGGATCAAGGTAGACAACCTTGGTGGAAAAGGGCAGTTTAGGAAGCATGTACACAAACAATGCTCTTAGGTCTGTGCAGCCTGACAGGTTGTACCCATGAGTGCTCACTGAGCCGGCTGATGTCATTGTGAGGCCGCTCTGTCTGGAGATTGGAAAAGAAAATTTTACTCGAAAAGGAAAGAACTGGGGAGCTCCAGGCCAGTCAGCCTCACCTCAGTTCCTGGGAAGCAGACACAGAAAATGTTTCCAAATACATGAAGGACAAGATGATTTGGAGTGATTAGCATGGATTTACAAAGGCAAAATTGTTCTTGACCAACTTTGTTGCTATCTACATTGTCACTGGTATGACTGGCTTGCTGGATGAGGGGGGAGAGTAGTTGATGTTGTTTACTTTGACTTCTACAAAGCTTTTCACACCATCTCTCATGTCATCATAGATAGGCAGACAAACTATGGGTTAGATATGCAGAGGGTTGTGATCAGCCACAGGAAGTCCAATTGAAGGTAAATTAGTAGTAGTATACCACAGGGCTCAATACTGGCTGTTCAACTTCATCATTCATGATTTGTATGACAGAATGGAGTGCACCCTCATCAGGTTTACAGATGGTAGAAAAATGGAAGGGGTGACTGCCTATGCAGCCCTTTAGAGGAGCTTAGCAGGCTGGAGGACTGGGCAGAAAGGAGTATCATGAAAGTTTAACAATAGAAAACAAATCCCTGTGTCTGTGCGGGAGTAACCCCAGGCACCAGTACATGCTGGGGTCTGACAAGCTGGAAAGCTCTGCAGAGACCCACCTTGGGGTCCTGGTGAACAGCTTAGCTGACTGAGCTGGCTGTCTACCCTCACAGCAAAGGATGTCAGCAGCACCCTGGGCTGGATCCGGAGGAGTGTTGTCCTCTCTGCTCAGCACTGGTTAGGCCACATCTGATGTGTTGTCTCCAGTTCTGGGCTCCCCATTATAAGGAAGGTGGGACTTACTGGAATGAGTCCAGTGCAGGGGTACAAAACTGTTCCAGAATACAAGGATTTCTCAATTCTGATCTAGTTGTGAGGTATGATATGATGAAATATTTTAGGAATAGAAATAGTATTTGTAATTGGGAGCTAAACCCTCCTCTAAAAGTGATCTTGCAGAGATCTGATTTGACTTCTTAGTAGTATTTTATTTTACTAAGGTTGATTGGAGACATGATTCTAATATGCTAGTTTACCCCTTTGTTTCCTACTTCATTCCATTTTTAAAGTAACCTTTTGGGGATAGGTAAATTAATTGTCTTTTATTGACAGTGTCAGCTCTTCTGGAGGATTCTGCTTGGTCTGTAGCAGTCACTGCTGGGTATTTTTAAATTACCAAGAAATCACAATTAAAAGTATGGTTTAGGCCGGATTCTGGTCTGTAAATGCCGAATTTGTGAACTCTGTAGAGAAAGGAACTTCAATGACAGGAGCTAACAGAACTGGGGTTTGGATAAGGAAACAATCAACCATGTCCTGAGTTTTGGAACTTGAATTTGGTTTTCTTCTCTTTAAAGAACGATTTGCTGCAGGAAGGCGATTTCAACTTGGCATCAAGAGATACATATGGATAGTGCTAATGTAATTGGATTAGATTTGCTTTTTCTTTGTTTTGAAATATGCTTTTAATCTAAATGGAGTAATGAATAGACTTCTCTGTTCATATTAATTTTCTGATTTCAGTAGTGTTAGATAAGTGTTACCCGCTTTGATCTGGGTTGTACTGCTGTCAGAATTAAGCATTGTACTTCTTACTGGTTTTGTTGTACAAGGCAGCATGAACGTACTTGAGAAATGCCTTAGAGCACATCTGGATGTTCATTGAATGTCATAGCTGCATATTTGTTTGAATCAGTGGCTTGTTTAGCCATGCTCAACAATAAAATATTAATCACTGATATAATAGCATATACAAATGAAGGATGTCCTGCTACCATCTAGTTATTGACAGACTTATGCCCTGGGCACAAGCTTACCTGATACTGTTTGGTGATGAGCTGTGTGACAAATTCGCCAGTTTTTACCTATGAGGAAGGAATTAATTCAGATGTAGATGCAGCAGAATGCCTGCAGGTGTCAAGGGGGAGATTCTCAAGACCAAAACTGGCTGGTGTTTGGCAACATGGAACAGCTAGAGGACTAGATTTAGTCCCCAGAGAGCTCCATTTCAGTAAGAGGGTTGATTACTCTCTGGGGACAAGGAACAAGCCCTGCCTTGGAGCAGGAGTGAGAACAGTGCCTTTCCTGGTGTCTGCAATCGGCTCCCAGCAGTAATCACTTCTAAAGCTGTAATCACAGCCACATGGCAGCACTGTGCCTTTTTACTGCTTTCTATTCTTAGCGCTCGTAACAAGGGATTAAAGAGCATGATAAAAATATACGCTTGAAAAAAGAGACTGTTATAAAATATGATTTCCTTTTGAAGGACTGTATTTAGTACATGATGAATCCTGTAGGGGCGGCATGTATGCGTTTCCAGTCACTGCCAAGGTTTCAAAACTATTTTAAGAACAGCAGAATCTAGCTGTTGTCATAGTAGCAATAAACCTTTTAATCCCACTTCCTCTGGAGATGAAGCTGTTCTGTTCTTAATCTTCTTAAAGATCATCAAGGCTGTTTATGGGACAAGGAACTAGGTATACAGCACAGAGAAAATGCTACTTGTTGCCCCCAGAAAGTTTAGCGCTTTATTTTGATTGTGTTTGACTGGGATTTGCTAAGAGACTGATCTTCGGACCAGCTAATAGGAGGGCAGTCACCTGGGAAGCTACCCTTTATTTATACCAGTGTCTTGGCATTGACAGCTTCTTGTCATGGTTAAATGAAACTGTTTGTAGGTAGTTCTGGGCAAGAGCTTGCTATTATCATGGATATCCCATAGTTTAGAATAATCCTTTTGAGGAAGTCTTTTCATCTTCAGTGCTTCCATTTGTTAAGAGTCTGGAGGCTTCCCAAACAGCATTAGGTCGTATTTAAATATTGCTGTAAAGTCTGTAGTCCCTGAAAAGTTAATGCAATTGAAAATTCCTTGGAGTATTTAGATAATGCAGGGATCACTTATTCTTAAATGTACAATAGGTAGTCAAGAAAAATCCACAGAAAACTGACAGCTTCTTCATCTGGCTTTTGGAGATCAGTTTAGCTAGGTAGTGAGAATTTGAAATGCCATGTCAAAATAATCTTTACAATAGAATTTGGCATCCTGAACCAAAAATGATGCTAACATTTGTTCATGTGTATCTAGGACTAAAAGAGACCTTTCTCACCAGATGAAATTTCTCAGTAATTACTGACATCTGTGCCATTGTCAGTTTATTTGGTGTAGTCTGGTTACAGGACTGGATCATGTAACCTCACATCCTGCATATAAGAAATACAAAACTTTTTTTTGAACCTGTATTTCAGTTCATATGTACTGAATAACAGCAACAGTTTGGGGATTTGCATTTGTTTGTTTTCCTGAAGTCTGCATGTTCTGGCTAGATGGGCGCCCAGTCTTTAGGACAAATTGTGCAACAGAGTAAATGACAGCTGGAGCACCTCTCCTATGGAGACAGGCTGAGAGGGTTGGGGTTTTTCAGCCTGGAGAAGAGAAGGTTCAGGGGAGGCATTAAAACAGTCTTCAAGTACCTAAGACAGGTCTACAGAGATCTGGAGAGGGGCTTTTCACAAGGCCATGTAGTGATAGGACAAAGGGTTTAAGGTGACAGAGGGGAGATTTAGATTAGACATTAAAAAGAAATTCTTCACTATGAGGGTGGTGAGGCACTGGCACAGGTTGCCCAGAGAAGCTGTGGCTGCCCCATCCCTGGCAGTGTTCAAGGCCAGGTTGGATGGGGCTTGGAGCAAACTGGTCTAGTGGAAGGTGTCCCTGCCTGTGGCAGGGGGGTTGGAGCTGAATGATCTTTAAGGTTTCTTCCAACTCAAACCATTCTATGATTCTATGAATGCTTCCAAGATTAGTTATTTATTTGCATTTTTTTTTTAATGTACTCAGTTGCCCCTCTATTGAAAGTTTTGATCACAGGTAATTGGTTTTTGCTTCTTC